TATTCAAAAATAAATTCTGAATCGATTGAAAATGAAAATGGTAAAAGAAAAAATGCGCATCCTTTAGAAGAAAATTGGAGATTATTTTTAAAATCTTGAGTTAAGAATTAAAAGAATAAATCATGAAGAAATGGTAAATTTAACCTAGTTCATATATAAACTTTTATAAAATTAGACTCCATAAACTATATGGGAAGGCAAATCACAGCATAGGAGAGTATATATTAATGCATGTAATCAATAAAGGATTGATATTTAGAACATTTAATAAAGAATTCTTAAAATTACTAAAAAATACCCCAAACATCTTTGGGCATCTGGCTGGCTCAGTTGGAAGAGCATGCATCTTGGTCTTAGGGTTATAAGTTTGAGGCCCATGTTGAGTGTAGAGATTATTTAAAAATAAAATATTTATTTAAAAAAAACCCAAATCCAAACTCAAATAGAAAAATGGGCAAAGATTTGAACAGTGATTTTATAGAAGGGTGAAAACACATGACCTCTCAATGTGAAAAGATGCTTGATCTCACCAGTAACTAGAAAAAAGTAAATAAATAAAACCATTACCTGACTGGTAAATATTTAAAAGCCTGAGAAAAACACACAATGGAGGAAATGTGATATAAGAAGAGCTACCATGTACTGCTGGTGTGAGCTTGAGTCAGTGCAACTACTTTGGGGAGCAAATTGATAAAACCTAGTAAAATGCACTTGTGTCTTTGCTTATTCCTGGTAATTTTCCTTTTAGATATCTACCTGAAGAAACTATCAAAATGTGCAAAAGAAAATGTGGGTAACAATGAGCAAAAACCAACGTGACTTGTGGTGGGAAAAATCTGGGGAAAAAAAAGCTTAAATGACCTTAAGAAGGATAAATATGTTTTGTGTAACCATAATATGAAATGCTATAGCAAAGTTAAAATGAGAACATATTGCAACGTATATGCATAAATCTAAATGGGTTGTTGAATAATTTCTCCGAAGAGGATATATAAATGACCACTAAGAACATGAAAAGATGCTCAACAGCACTAATCATTTTAAAAATGCAAATCAAAACCACACTGAGATACTACCTCACATCCTTTAGGATGGCTATCATTGTTACGTAGAAAGTAACAAGTGTAAGTAAGGATATAGAGAAGTTGGGATCCTTGTATGTACACTGTTAGAATGTAAAATGGTATAGCTGCAATGGAAAAGAGTATGGATGTTCCTCAATAAGTTAAACAAGGCTTAACTGTATAATCCAGCAAATTCACTTTGGGTAGATAGCCCAAAGAATTGAGGGGCTCCTGGGTGGCTCAGTTGGTTAAGCGTCTGACTTCGTCCCAGGTAATGATCTCACTACTCGTAAGTTTGAGCCCTGCGTTGAGCTCTGTGCTGACAGCTCAGAGCCTGGAGCCTGCTTCGGATTCTGCCTCCCTCTTTCCCTGTCCCTCCCCCACTTGCACTTTCTCTCTCAAAAATAAATATATGTTAAAAAATTTTAAAAAAAGAATTGAAAGCAGGTACAGGATCACATATTTGTACACCCAGTTCATAGCTACATTACTCACAATAGCCAAAATTAGAAGCAACCCAGATGTCCACTGATGGAAGAATGGGTAAACAAAATATACTGTACACATACAGTGGAATATTATTCAAATGTAAGAAGAAGGAAGTAATTCTGACACGTGGTACAACGTGGTTGAACCTTGAAGATGTGGTAAGGGAAATAAGCCAAAGACAAAAGGGCCAAGTCTGTATGATTCCATTCACATGAGGTACTTAGAGTAGTCAAATTTACAAACAAAAAAAGTAAAACGGTGATTGGCTGGGCCTGGGAGAAAGGTTAATGGGGAATTATTTTTTTACAGGTACAGAGTTTCAGTTTTGCAGAGTAAGAAACTGCTGAGATAGATGTTATGATGTTTCCAAAATGGGAATGTACATAATGTCCCTGAACTGCACATTTAAAAATGGTTAAAATGGTGAAGAAAAGAAAAAACAAAACTTAATGGGTTGAAGAAGATAATAAGCAAGTTACAGAAGGATCCTATTGTATAATATACATTTATATTAATATGAAGTTTTACAACCTACAAAAATTACTCTGTGTATATCATGGATATAGAAACATTGATAAGCAAAAACAAACTAGTAATTGCATCCAAAGAAGGAAGACATAAAGAAATTTGAATTGGGATGGGAGTACACAGGGAGCCTCAGGCATATTGGTAATAATTTATTTTTTTTAAAAAATCTATAGTAGACTTAGTAAAGTACTGGGTTTGACAAATCTGGGTTGTGAGACATAGGTGCTTGTAATGCTATTTTTTTCACTGTTCCATGCACTGAAAAATTTTCATCTTTAGAAAAATCATCAAGAAGCCAAATTTTTGGGTAATGCTGGTCTTTGTTCTCTTAGCTCTTTATTTTTCTAACTCCTTAGCTTTTCTCAGCATTTTTCATGGTTCTCATCTTGAAAATCTGCTTTCTGGGGCACCTGGGTGGCTCAGTCGGTTAAGCATCCGAGTTCGGCTCAGGTCATGATCTCGCTGACCGTGAGTTTGAGTCCCACATCAGGCTCTGTGCTGATAGCTCAGAGCCTGGAGCCTGTTTTGGATTCTGTGTCTCCCTCTCTCTCTCTACCCCTCCCCCATTCACACTCTGTCTCTCAAAAATGAATGTTAAAAAAATTTTTTAAAAAAATCTGCTTTCTGTAATCTGCCTGGTTTATGTTGGATGCTAGGCCAGGCCAAATTACTTACCTTTTATTATTTCTTTATTTCTTTAATGTCTATTTATTTTTGAGAGAGAGCGAGAGAGAGCGAGCGAGCAAGCATGGGAGGGGCAGAGAGAGAGGGAGGCACAGGATCAGAAGCAGGCTCCAGGCCTGTCATCACAGAGTCCCACCTGGGGCTTGGACTCACAAACCATGAGATCATGACCTGAGCTGAAGTCAGATACTTAACTGACTGATCCACCCAGGTGCCCCTACTTTCCTTTTGGATATAGGTAAGTTCAGATTGTTGGATCACTTTATTTTGTATACTCCAGATGCCTCCAAGTGATCCTAAAGATTCTTCTTTGGAGATTTTTGTTACAAACTAATATCTGGTCGTTTTCCTCTTTCATCTGACTCTTTTTTGTTTCATTTCTTTGAAGCATATTCAGTTTTCTAATTCTGTTGTTGGAATTACACAAATAACACAATTTGCAAATCATTCGCTCTGTATGTGTGGCGGGGGAGGGTCCGGGGTACACCACGTGAGTGTTAAGGTTGGGTGGAATGATTGAAATCTACCTGCCCTAACTTATTAGCTGTCTCTAACATTTCCATCTCTTTCTTTCTCAAAATTTGTGCATTTTACAGGTCACCCTTTCTTTCCAAATGGAGTAATCTTTCAGAGTTTGCTATTAGTACACTTTTAAATATCAAATATTTGTAGAAAAACAGTAATCAACTGGGCCTTAAGCAAACTGTTTAACTCTTCCTACATCTAATTTTTTATTTTCAACATAAAATACCTGCTCAATCAACTTCACTGGATTCTTATAAAGATAATTTAAATTATGTAGATGAAAGCACTTTGGAAGTTTTATAGTACTGTACACATGTAAACACGCTTCTTAAATGAACATGTAAAATTGGCAGACTATTAATCCTATGTGTAGGCCTCTTTAATAGTATTTCCCAAAATGTGATTTTGAGAGCATGGCTCTTGGGAACATTAATGTGAAAAGTATTATATGAAAAGTGCTCCTGTGGACAAAATATTGGGAAAACACTGGGTTAGGTATAGTTAGACTTCTCTATGTCTACTTTGGCTTTTGAAAGTATATAATAGACAGATGTATTTTGTGAACTAAAGCCAGATTATTCAAACTAAAGAATACCCTCTTTTGTGATTTATATCCTTTGAAATAGACTTTGGGAAATAAAATTCAAGATGTATTTTATTCTTCTCAGTCTTCTAGTTTCATTTTCTAAACTTTGATTTTGGTTTTTGTAACTTTTTTGATCCTCATTAGTAGTAATATTAAACTAAAACCAAATTATTCTTTTATTCCTGGTGTTATAGACATAATTACATAAATAGGAAAACAATTCATTACAACTTTAACTTTTACAACTAACTATATTTTAGATTATTTTCTTGTTCCAAAAGGGCTTCTATACTACCTAAAAATAAAATTTGCTTTTAAAAGCTTGTTACATATATGTACTTTTATTAAATATCAATGCCCGCCTTTAGATAGATTGTCTAAGAAGATGAAATCTAAAACACTGCCCTGAGAATTTCACTGAAAACTGAACACTTAACATCTCAAAGGCTATGTTAGTATCTGTGTCAGTTTTGAGGCTTGGTTATATTTGAAATGATACACAGTTTTTTATAGCCATTTTTTCCCTTATTTTTTATATAGCTCATGAATTATTTAGGTTTTTATTTTTTTCTACTTTTTTTGCAACTGAAGTTATTTTATTTTACATAAAATGTACACTGTTCTTTTGAAATATCACATCATTTTAATGTGTGATAAATAATGTGTATAAATATTTTGAGGATTCTGTTTTTAGGTATTTCACTGAATATTATATATTCCATTTAATTTTGTAATAAGAAGCATGTTCAATTTGATTTAGTAATTTAACTTTCTAATAGCTTTGTTTAGTGTTGATAATTCATATAGTTTACTGTATGAAACTTGGTTTATTTAATGAAGATGTGTCTTTGGAATTATCCTCCAAAATAAAGTTAACCTAATTCTTTCCTTTCATATTTGTTGTTCTCATACATTTAAATTTATTTATGGGCACTTTAGGTAGAAATTATTTTTACTGAAGGAATGATGCTAGTTGAGTAATAATATTAAATTCTAGGTCATGGCAAATTAATGAAAGACTTACTAATTTTAATTATTGTGTCTTTAATTTGACTAATGATTATTTTATAGTAATTGTCTTAATTTATTTTTTTATTTCTTTTGCCATTCTCTTTTTTTTCTAGCTTGTGATGAATGGAAAATATTACCAAAACCAAATCTTCATAGAGATGTCAACAGATTTGGACACTCTGCAGTTGTCATTAATGGGTAAAAGACATAAATTTCTCAGTCATACTATCTACATATTCTGTTACTCTTTTAACAAATTATTATTTGTACTTAATGACATCAGGTATCCCTACCCTACCATGAAATACATTTTGGTTTGTTAACCATATCCTTTATGCTTTGGTGTTCAAACATATTTAAGGGAAAGGGGGACCAAGAAAGAGTGCTGAGATAAAACTTATGGTCCTTTTTAAAAATTCAGCCTGCCTTCTTTCCTTTTAGTAGAATTCAGACAATGAATGACTTCTTTAAAAAAAAAAGATCGAACTAAAATGATAGAAAGGCTAGCCCCATATTTCTATCAAGGAGAGCAAGGAAAGGGGGAATTAGATTCTCATTTTAGTTCTGTCATTAAATGTGTGATTTTTTGGCAAGTTCCTTAACCTCTCTGGGCTTTACTATCTTTGTATCCCTTGGGATTTTGGATGGGATGAGCATTAAGTTACCTTCTTCCTTTCAGTTAGTATTATTTTTTTATTTCTAAAGCAAAATTTGGTAATGTGGCAGGAAACTATGCCAGCTCATTCATTAGCTTAAAATTTGTAATTTATAATGACATTCTTAGAAGTTCATTTTATTACCACCGTATTCTAATTTTGTAAAACTTCTTCAATATGATACTAAAAGCAGGTAGACATTAACCGCAATGAAACTCTGTTATTGGTGTCAGTTAGCTTTCAAAATACTAACATGAAATTCAGAGTTTACACATAAAATCCCAGCCTTTGTTGAAATATTGTGTTTGATTGACTTTTATCTTCTTCTTTTTAAATAATAAAAGATATTATTGAAGCATCTTCTGATCTTTTCCCATTTATTATGTTAATAATATTGTTAGAAATAAAAATTATGCTCTTTTGAAGCCATGTTAAACTTCTTTGGCACTGGTAGTTGAATTAATTTCATACTTATATGAATTTTCCTTTCCAAATTAAAATTTTGAACATATTTTTAGTTTGCTCTTGGTCTTTTCTATTTTATAAGAGGATAGTAAAACACTGTAAGAAAGACTTTGTATCTAATATCTAAATTCATTGTCAGTATTCAAAAATTATAATTCTAGATAGCAGTTCTAAAATGTATCTTATCCATGTACAGCTACTTTCTATTTCTATTTGTTTCTAAAAAAATTTCTTACTTCCTTGACATAATGCAAAATGTATATTTAAATTTATTTCTGAAACTAATTCATTAGAGTTTTTAAAATATTGTTTAAGATTCTATTTTTTTTATAGGTCCATGTATATATTTGGAGGATTTTCTAGTGTACTCCTTAATGATATCCTTGTTTACAAGCCTCCAAATTGCAAGGCTTTCAGAGATGAAGAACTTTGTAAAAATGCTGGTCCAGGAATAAAATGTATTTGGAATAAAAATCACTGTGAATCTTGGGAATCTGGGAATACTAATAATATCCTTAGAGCAAAGTGCCCTCCTAAAACAGGTGAACTTTTTTTTTTTTTTTTACCTCCCCTGTGGCATAAAGCTTCTTTACTTGGCTAAAAGTTATAATGCATTTTGCTTATAAGAATTACTTATAGCTTAAAACAGGTGGGGGGGGGGACAAAACATAAGAGACTCTTAAATATAGAGGACGAACAGAGGGTTGTTGGAGGAGTTATGGGAGGGGGAATGGGTTAAATGCTTAAGGGGCATTAAGGAATATGAAATCAGTGTTGCACTATGTGCTAACACTTGGATGTAAATGAAAAAAAATGAACTATAAAAAACAAAAAAACAAAAAAATAATTTCTATTTCCTGAAAAAACAAGACTTGTAGCTTTTAGAAATAAAAACTGCATAATCCTCTAATTAGGAATTTTCATGTTTGGACTTGGCAGGGCCTAATCATTTAAATTTTTATTAGCCACTTCTAGTTTTCTCTTTTTAATTCTGTATGTATTATTACACATATAACATTTTATGAATCATATGGCCATATATATCTATGCACTATTTTCCTATATAAGTAAAAAGTGCTTTAAAGTATACTCTTTCTCAGAAATATTGTATTATTGGGGCACCTGGGTGGCTCAGTCAGTTAAGTGTCTGAATTTGACTCAGGTCATGATCTCATAGTTCCTGGGTTTAAGCCCTGTGTTGGGCTCTGTGCTGACACCTCAGAGCCTGGAGCCTGCTTCAGATTCTGTTTCTTCCTCTCTCTCTGCCTCTACCCTCTTGTGCTCTGTCTCTCTTTTTAAAAAAATGAATAAGCATTTAAATTTTTTTTTAAAATATTGTGTTTCTAAGAAACAAAGTGAAGTAATTTATTCTGCATTTGTTAGTTTTTTTTCCTTTAATATTGCCAAGCCAACCATAGAGCTAAAAGATTTTCTAGAATTCTGATGATTAATGTTTTAGTTTAATACTTCTTATAACATCTTGAATAAATCACACAAAAAATTACTAGTAAATATTTATTTATGAGTGAATGATTTGGATAAAAATTTTCCAATTCTCTTAGGTAGAGGTTTTATGCATTTTTTCATGCTATAATTAACGATGTATTTTCAAGTTTTGTTAGTCTCAGATGTTTCTAAATATCTTTATGAAGAATGATAAACAATGAGTATTTGTTATCATGTTTCATGTTTCTTTTAAATGTAGAGTAATACTTTTTTTCTAGCAAAATACCAATAAGTATCCCCCCCCTCCCTCCATAACGGATACATTTTAAATGGCTGTAAGATCCTGGTAGATTAAATAATTAAAATGAGGATGGGAGGTATCTCAAAACTTAGAAACATAATTAAACTACAAAGTTACCTTCATATTGAAGAAGTTATTTTGATATTGATGGTCATATTTATGTTGTAAAAAGTCTTAGTGATTCTTAAACAGATATTCAAAATGTGTGAATTAAGAAGTGTGACATTTCCTTTCTCATCCTGATGAGTTCGTCTCCCGTGTGCATTGCAGCTGCTCCTGATGACAGATGTTACAGATACGCGGACTGCGCCAGCTGCACTGCCAATACAAATGGGTGCCAGTGGTGTGATGACAAGAAATGTGTTTCAGCAAACAGTAACTGCAGTGTGGTTAGTATTTATGGGTAAATGGTGATGTGGTTAACATTGCTGCTTTCTAATCGTTAGCTTACCATTTACGAGCATTGTACAGAAAGCACTTTACACATCAACACACTTAGAAAGTTTGTAGGGAATCACTGCTGTGTTGTAAATTCACTCTAGTTTCTTGCTTATCTTTGTCAGACTAGATTCCATGTTGAATCCAGTAACTTTTGCTTCCTCTTATGTCTTTTTAAAAAAGACTACAGTAGCACCTGGGTGGCCCAGTCGGTTAAGTATCCAGCTTCGGCTCAGGTCACGATCTCTGTCACTCATGTTCGTGGGTCTGAGCCCTGTGTTGGCCTCTGTGCTGTAGGCACAGAGCTCACCTCAGATCCTTTGTCTCCATCTCTCTCTGTTCCCCCCCCCATTAAATAAACATTAAAAAAGTTTTAAAAAGACTGTAATTATAAATGTAGTTTTCTGTGTTGACAGACATAGGATTACGTAGGTAAGTACAGCAGTGATTTCCATGGGATTCTGGTCATACATGCACACGCACAGTACTGCTGTGGACTGATGTTTCGTTTACATGCTTTGTGTATAAGGTTAACCTGAGGTCGACAGGGGTAGTTTCCTTTTATCTGTCTTTAGGTCAGTGGTTCTCAACCAGTGGCCGTCTTGTGCCATAAGGGATATTTGACAACATGTGTAGACATTTTTGGTTGTCACAACCGTAGGGCTGCTCGTGGTATCTAATAGAAGCAAGGGTGCTGCTAATGTTCTGTAATGCATGGACTTTCCCACAGAAAGCAGTTATCTGGCTCAAAGTGTCAATAGTGATGAGTTTGAGAAACCTACTTTGGTAGACAACTGAAAAGAATTATAAGATTAATGTTTACGGTAGATGAAAAGTGGGTAGTATAAAATGTCTCATGTTTTTAAGAAGATGTGAACAAATTGAAAGAAAAATTTTAAAAAGTATTAAACAAGTATAGGATTAAAGGATTAAAAACTGTAGTAGGACTAAAAATTCTCTTACTGGGCTATAGCTTAAATAACTAAATAATGAGTTTATAAATTTGCAACTACATATAACATACATTATTTCTTTTTCTGAATTTTTATTAATCACCAAAAGTATTCACCTGTTTTTTAAGATAGCATGTGGAGTAAAAGGTAAAGAAAAGAGAGTTTGAAAACTAAGTGAGAAGTTTTTATTGTATCATCTAAAATTTTTCTTCCATAAACATTCATATTTTAAAATATTTGTTTTATGATTCTATTCTAAAAAAACATTCAAAACTTAAAATGGAGGAAACTTCTCAGTTATTGACTTACCCGACTGAAACCTTTTTTTAATATATATTGTGTGGGTATATACTTTCTAGGGATATAAGTTGCTTTGATAACAGATATGCTTCAATTTTATTTGAGTTTTAATGTTAGTATGGTATGACTCTGCTTTGAAAATTTGAATTACTTTTTTATATGTATATTAATATTCATCTAATGGGGGTTATTTTAGTGAGTAATGTGGATATAGGAGTTAAGTAAAATAAAGTATGGGAATAAGGGAATAAAATGGAAAATGTTATTAAATAAAAATTGGAAGCATATTGTGTTTCAAGCTTTGTTGGATAACCCTGAGTTTAGACATTGTGTTTAGACATTTACACTAAATGAAAATACACGATTGCAAAAATTGTGTTATGCAAATTGCTATCAAGTATTCATTTAATAAAGTGACCTTTTAGTTTATACTTTGTTTTTTATAATGCTGTGTTAATAAGGAAAGCATTGGATGAGATAGTGTAAGTGAGCAGATGGTACTCACTTGTAATTTAGACTTTGATGTAGTGTCTTTTAGACAATTTTATATGGATGTCTGGTGATTAAGCTAAACCAAATGTTATGGTTACAGAAAGGTCTGTGAGATTTTAGTGTAAATGATGTCCATTTATACCCTGTTTCATTATTTAGTTGTATTTATTTCATCTTGCATATTTTGTGTGCTAACAGCTCAAATAATCCTGCTTACTTATCTGGTTCATTAGGCCAAAAAATACCAGCCATGTTTCAGAATAACAGCCAGTTTTTTTTCATCATTGATCAGACTGGTCCTGTGTATGATTGAAATATAATTTCATCTATTGTATTGATTCAGTGTCAATAAATGACCATACTGTTTGTATTGAAGAGCAGTCCAGTTATTTGAAAGGTCATTGTAGTGATACCATTGTTAGTCTGAAGACTGGCATAAAACTGTTATTCTTCTTTTTATTCAGTTATTCTGTCATTCTGTCATTTTTATAGGTTATTCTGTTTACCAGATGATTCAAGTAATTTTTTTCTTTTCAGTTAGCTGAAAGATTTATATTCCATATGAAAACAGAGCTACAAATTAGAAAATGTAATAATAAAAAGTATGTATGTTCTGAATGGAAATGTGGTGGTTGAATAATTTGAGATTTAAAAAAATATGGGCACCTGGGTGGCTCAGTTGGTTGAGTGTCAGACTTCACTTTGGATCATGATCTCCTAGTTTGTGAGTTAGAGCCCTGCATTGGCCTTGCTGCTCTGGGTGCCAGATCCTGCTTCAGATCCTCTGTCTCCTCTCTCTGCCCCTCCTCCACTCACACTCTCTCAAAAATAAATGAAATAAATAAAAACATTAAAAAATAATAAAAATTCTATATTCTCTTATTTTTTAGGATGAATAAAGATGAACATTAATTACTATTTAGTTACTTTTTATGTGTTACCTTATAATATATGTAATTTGCTTTACAGAAATTAACACCTTTGGAATGGAGGTGATTGCAGTGTATTTTGTATGGGAAAGTTTCATAGTTTATTAATAAAAATCTGGTGGGTGACTTTTAAGATGTCTAAGATGTGGTAAAAGTTGGCTCAGCCATTTTTTAAAGTTTATTTATTTGAGAGGGAGAGAGACAGAGACAGAGACAGAGAGAGTACATGAGCTGGGGAGAGGCAGAGGGAGAGAGAATCCCAAGCAGGCTCTGCCCTGTCAGTATAGAGCCCAGTACAGGGCTGGACCTCAGGAACCTATGAGATCATGACCTGAGCCGAAATAAAAAGTCTGATGCTTAATGGACTAAGCCACACAGGTGCCCCGCTTTAACCATTTTATATGTGGGATAGTTATAAGTAAATTTTAACTGTTGACTTTATGGGCTGAAAAGAAATATTTGACTCTGTTACATTAGAAAGCTTGAGGTGAGTGTTTATATGTATGAAGATTTAAGTGGGGCACAGAATGCAGCATTAAGTCCTTTGTGTTTTTTTCTCAAGAGTCATGGAAAGATTTGAGCCAAAATTTTATCATATTAATACTATCATCTGAACTTTGCTGTATGTAGAGAACTACCAGCAGAGTTTCTATTGTGCTCATTTTTTTCTTTATTGATCTTTAATCTTTAATCTCTTAATACTGGAATTTAGTTGACATATGATTAGGTTGTATGGTAGGATTGATCAAGTGTAACTTCAGCTTCTTTGCAGTCACCATAAAGGAACCATGACAGATATATACAGGACACTTGTCACTTGACCAAAATGATTATTTAGTGTCTGTAATGTCTGTGAAAGTGAAATTAGCTTGAGTTATTGAGAAAATAATTGATGTTTATTATCTCTTCAATTTTTACTACTTACCATTTCTACTTTGTTGCATGATAGTTTTATTAGGACTGGAATTTTTTCCATATGATCATTAAGAGAAATGACTCTGCATTGGCCTTATTTATTGAATCGGGAGCTTGTTATCAGATTTAATAGAGTAGGTTTTCATTAGATGGTTTCTGTTTCAGATTGTAGAAATCGTAAATTTTTTCCAATAAGCATATGTTCTAGTTCCTTATGTTATAGTTTAAAGAAATGAGTAAGAGAGATTCTGATTCAGTAGAATTGGATTTGGGGTTAGAAATCTGACCTTTAAAATTTACTTGGTGATTTATCTGTACACTGACATTTAAGAATCATTGCTATACAAAGGTAAAATATAACATGCTTTATCTTTTAACTTTCTAGTCTGTGAAAAACTATACCAAATGTCATGTGAGAAATGAACAGATTTGTAACAAACTTACCAGCTGTAAAAGCTGCTCCCTAAACTTGAATTGCCAGTGGGATCAACGACAGCAAGAATGCCAGGCTTTACCAGGTAAAGATTTCAGTTTGGTAAACGAATTTTATAGCCTTACAAATGAATACTGTTATAGTAAAGAGCATTTAGTAATACATTCCAGTTTCAAATAAATGATAATATTGGAGTAATAATAGCATTGTTTCTATAAGAAAACTATATGTTTGCTTCCAGTTCTTTTAAGATGTTCATGATTTCTTGTATTTGTTATAATAATACTATTGATTTGATCAGAATTCTTCTCAATTTAAAAATATTCTGTCTTAAAAAATAGAAAATAATAAGGACTCAGACTAATATCCAGATTTAATAATGTTAACATTTTGACCTATTTGGTTTCTTTCTTAGGTGCCCTTTATCTTTGACATTCTGGAAACTGTTTTTACCAGCTACGTTTTTATTCTAAATTATAACACTTATCATAAGTTTTATATGATTTAATGACAATCTAAGTTATGTAAACCAGAGCAAAGCCCATTAAAAAAAACAATTCTAGTTTATTTTTTTACACATAACATTCTCTTAAGTAGACCCTAAGTACTCTTCATTTTAAGTATAAAAGATAAAATTAGTAACTAAAAATAATCTAGATACTTAACTTCTTGTTATACGGGTGAGTGAGACATACATTGTTTAGTGACTTGTTCAGAGTTGCATAGTTTGTAAATGGCAGATGTAACTATTAATTGGGTATTTTATTTATGTTCAGTGTTTTGCTTTTCTCTATTCCATGGCTTTTAATTGTTTTGTTATATCTTTTCAAAGAAATTCTGAACCTATGTAATTCTAAAAAGTCCTTGAAAATTCCATTGTAGGATTTATGTCATGCTTGGAAGTTCATGTAATAAAATAAAAATTAGATTGTTTTCAAAAGTACCATTAAGAGTTTAGAATGTTTATGTAAATTTTAGATTTTTTTAAATATACTGACATTTAAAGTTTTTAAACAGTGATACATGCATGTTTGTTCACTTTGTAAAAATGAGAGAATATTAATGTAGTGCCAGGTTTTGAGAAGCAATAGTGAGATGATACGCAACTTTAAAGTAATATTAGTATCAGAATGTTAAATTGTAAAATCAACACGTAGATCAGTAAAAATACATACAACGTTGTTTTAAAAAATCTTGGATGAAACGGGCGACTGAGTGGCTTAGTTGGTTAAGTGTCTGACTCTTGATTTTTGTCAGGTCATGATCTCGTGGTTTGTGAGTTCAAGCCCCATCTTGGTCTCTGTGCTAACAACTCAGATAAATGTATATATTTAAAGGAAGATTGCTTTAATAAGAAGAGAATTTGATTGGCAGTGGAAGTTTCGGAAAATAAGTGTTTATCTACACGTTGCCCAGGAAAGAATGCTGATTTGGTATAAGCCACTTGGCCAGGCTATTACTATGGAGAATAATAAATACCATAAAACAAATACAGTATAAAATGCATTATAAACTAACTTCCCTTGTTCTGCATTCATATTTGCTAAGCAGCCAACTAGGTCTAGTTTGTTTCCCTCTCTACTGGTCTCGAGGAAGTAAATGCTGTAAATGAAGGACCCTGTCTCCACTGTTGGACTTTTCTATGAACATTTGTGATTTGCATTTTTTCATTGATCTGTAAACTCGGCAATTTGCATTTATCTCACTAAACACATTTTAAAAACTTAATGTTTCTCATTTAACTCTGAAGCTGAGTTGATGCTCAGTACTACAAAAGTCTAAACTATAAAAACATTTGGGTCAGCCGTATACTTCAGTTTAGTCTCAAAGATGCATGCATTTGTGTCCATTTGTATGATTTTTCACTTTGGTGTTTTTGTCACACAAAAAAGGAGATAGGCAAAAGAAATTTAAATCCTTCCTTGATTCAGTAAGGTGAAAAAAAAAAAAGAGCCATAACTAAACAAAACTTTCACACTGTTTTCTTTAAAGTAATTAGGTACTTTGGATTCCAAAAGAATTAGTAGATTGCTATACAGGTAGCCTGAAAAAGAAAAAGCATTATAAACAATCTTACTAAATGACAATTACAGTTTATCAAGGGATTACTATGTTCTAGGTACTATTCATGGCACCCAATTTAATAAGACAGCAATTATTAAAGAACAGGAGGCCCCTGTTCATGGACTCTTTCAGAGGCTTCATGAGGTCAAAACTAATAATACTAAAATATTATTTGCTTTTAAAATTCTGATTCTGTCATGGGTTTACTATGGAGTTTTCTAAAGGCTGCATGATATATGATTCCAATAGATTGGAGAAGTAGATACGAGAATACCATTGTCTTATATTAAACCAACATTCAAGAGATTTCTAAAAAAATATAGCAGTGCTACCCTATTTTTATTTTTTGTGTTTGTTTTGGAGACTATGATTCCTATAAAATAAAATACACTATTTATTTTAAGTTGAAATGATTCTATGATGAACATTTTGCTCTGCTTTATCATTGATCTCCTGTCTATCCATCTCTCTATTGATTCATCAGTCTATCTTAAATTTTTTTATGCCATTGTCCTAAACTGTCAGCTGCTGTCTCTCAGGGAGAGAATTTGATGATACATATCCTTTGGGCCTGTATATAGCATAAAGGACACCTCAAAAGATGAAACAGTATATTCAAATGGGTTTTTGAATTCCAAATTTAAGTGAATAAATACAGTTTTAAATGGTCAGTTTTAATTTTTAATATGATCAAAGCCAATAGATAAAAAATCCCTACAGAAAAGATCTGTGAGGTCCTCAATAATTTTTAAGAAAAAAAGGGGTCATGAGACCAAATGTTTGAGAATTGCAGCTTTAGAAGAATTCCATAAAATTTGTACTAATGCATCAAGGCTGAAAGGGCAGAAGGCATTGATATATTTAATATGGTATGGAAACTAAAATGTAGTCAAACTTTATAGATCAGTGTTTTAATGAAGCACTGCATCCTTAACTAGTGCACACAGAGCATAACTTTATAATGTGTTTATAAATATGTTTTAGAGAATAGGCACTGTTTTAAGTTCAACATATATTCTAAGGATTAAACACTATTATTGAATAGTGTGTTTAAATGTTAGAAAGACCTGCATACCTGTGTAAAAATAAACATTAAAAAGCAAAGATTATGGGGTACCTGGGTAGCTCAGTCAGTTAAGCATCTGACTTCAGCTCAGGTCATGATCTCGCAGTTCATGAATTTGAGGTACATATTAGGCTGTGCTGACAGCTCAGAACCTGGAGCCTGCTTTGGACCCCGTGTCTCCCTCTCTCTCTCTGCCTCTTGTGTGCTCACACTCTGTGAGCTGTACCTTATATTGTGCTTAAGAATTAAAGAAAAACATTAGGATCTTCTGTTCTTCTTTTCTACCAAGCTATTAGCTAAGTTTTGTTTATTAAACTATATTGATATATTTAAAATTTTTATCATTAAAAGTTATTTAAACAAATACAGGAATTGTATTTAGAATTCTAAAATAACTGAAAAATATAAATGTTTTTTGATAATCTAAAAATAAGATATAATTTTTTTTGACTAGCTCATCTTTGTGGAGAAGGATGGAATCATATTGGTGATGCCTGTCTTAGAATCAATTCCAGTAGAGAAAGCTATGACAATGCAAAACTTTATTGCTATAATCTTAGTGGAAATCTTGCTTCATTAACAACCTCAAAAGAAGTAGAATTTGTTCTGGATGAAATACAGAAGTATACACAACAGGTAATGAACTCTATTGCTTTTATTATGGAAATATGCAGAAAGTCCTGTAATTACTAGCAATGGTTTATTCTTTTTGGTTTTAAACAAATTATTCTTATTAAATCTTGGAAGTAAAAGTAGAACGGACTACAAAAGTCAGTGGTCAGTGAACTTACTCTATATATGTATTTGGGAATAAAGTTTTCTAAATTACTCATCTTGGTTTTACATAGAAAACCACTGCATTTCTTACCAAGAAGTCATTTTATATAAATACATTTATTTAAAATACATGTGCATAAAATTTAATAATTTGTTTTGAAATGTAATTCACAATTTGTGATATCCCTTATAATTAAAGAACTAGACCCAACACATTGCTTAGATGTATTTTTTTTGTGAATGTATGTTGTGAATTGGGTTTTTGAATTATGCTGTTCTCTAGGTATAGATTTGCTTGAAATAATGTAATAAAGGTTAGGAGGACAAAAACCAATTTGTAAACTATGTGGAAGATATTGGAACATATAACACTTAGAAACAGTTTCAATATTTCAGGGAGTTTTATGAAAAATATTTCTTTAAAAATTGGATATTTCTTTGAAAATTGTGTCAAGATGTTATTTTATAAGACATTTCTAATAGGAATTTACAGTGTTTATTTTCTACTCTTGGTATATTTATAGTGAACTCTTAAGAGTAGCTCATATAAGGAGATTTAGAAATCATTTACTGAATCTAGTTATGAGAAACTTCATTTAGTTCATATGCTTACTTGAAATATACTAATAAATTGTCATAGCATCATAGAATATTTTTGCATTTTGTTTAAAAAATAAAATTAGAACTCAGAAGAGATCCCAAGTAAGTGATAAGATTCAACAGTAATATATGCCTTAAACCTGAAGTTTGTATTAGTTTTGTCCTACTGTTTAAGATAAATATGCACACACATACACGTACTCACCCTGTGGTAAATATTGCAGTGTCATTACTTCTATACAAATAATGGACGTGTATCTCTAATACAGCTGTTACTTACGAATGTGTGAAACTGTATTATACCAGATCTCAACAACTTTATTTTGACCTTCCAATTATGGTTTTTATTTGGACAAATAGTCTATTTATATTCCCAAACTCTGCTCTACATGGAGTACTATATGGTATAGAGGAGACAGTTTTGGCTTGAAACTATTTAGAGCAAATATCACCAATTACTTGTTATAGAAATACATAATGTTTTCTTGGTAGAGCTAATTTTAAAGAAGCATTGAGGACAGTATTATCAGAGTGATGGAGAGCATGCAATTGGACATACTGCTTAACTTTAAAACTTAGTAGCAAGTTAATCTCTCCAGCTCTATATTCTTCATTGGTAACAGGGATTATAATCATAGTTACTTTGCATGTTTATTGTAAAAAAAAAAGTGAGATAATGCATGTAAAGAGTATACATTTTATTTTTGGTGTTTACAGTAATTATCATTATTATTGTTTGCATTTTAAAGGTTGTTATTTTGGTATTGCTGTTTGTACTGCTGCTATTACTGCTATTTCCAGAAATCATTATTTAGAATTCTTAGGTATCTAAATGAATTTATTTGATGGATAGTTAATACTGATATAAATGGTAGAAAAGTATGTGCCCCAGACTAGTATTTCAAATTTTCCATGGCGAATGGCAAATTCTCCTTGCCACTCTGGCCTCACTGCCCTGGGTGGTTGTATTAGGACCTTTAATCTCTTCAGATCATTCCTGATTTATGATGAAGAATAGGTAACTGATTTTATTTTTACTAAAAACAGAGGAATACACATTTGATGTTAAAACATGGTAAAAGAACAGTTTTCATAAATGTTAAAAAAAATTAAGGGAATGTAAGCACACTCACTTCTGAATATTTTGTATGGATATCACTTTACTGTTACTGCCTACATTTTTGGTGATATCAGCATGTATAATTCTTATGAGTATCAATACCAAATGACTTAATGTATAATGCTAGTTTCTAATTGTTGAGCCAAAGTCCTGCTCCATGCTTTAATAAAAGGGTTAAATTAATTATATCACTGGTTTTTATAAATATTCACAGTGGATATAACAATATATTTGTTAGCTATCAAACGTTTATTTTATGCTTGATAATAGAATAAAGAAAAACTATATAGTCAAATTTGTATGAAAAATTGATATGTGAAATCATTTTTGTGTAAACTATAGCTAATTTTTCTGTAAAGAATGCGCCAATATCCATTCATTTAGTACACATTTATTGAGCACCTTCAGTGTACTTGGCAATCTATTGCTTGCTGTTCTCCAAGAATTTATTGTGAGGAAGGCAAACACAATTTTACTGCATTGTGATAATTATAATAATAGTTGAACATGGGATATACGAAGAAAGAGAGTGTATATCTAATTAGTGATGTGGACTTAAGGAGTTTCCTGGCGTAATGCCCCTAGTTAACTTTTGGAGGGCGTTGAGTTGGCCAGCACATGAAGATATTTCTAAGGAGGCAATAGAAACAACTATGTTTTTTTTTTCTTCTTTATTTGTCTTAAGAGTTACCAGCCTAATGGCCTGAAGGTAAGATGTATGTGGTTTTATGTAGGAGAGACATCAATTGATTTTAAAAAATATTTTAGAAAAATGTGAAAAGGTATATTTATAAAGTTTTATTTTTAATTATATGGAGCATATAACATAAGTTAAGATCTGTTATATTCGTATCATACCAGGGGTTTTATTTCTTTCATTACAGAATTGGGGGACAATTATGAATGAACATTTGGAAATTAGTTCTGTTATGTGTCACTTATAAGGAGCTTATTAATGTAGAGCCGCATTCTTTGAGTTTAGAAAGTCCTAGTATTCAGATTTAGAGCTCTATTGCTTTTTTCCTTGTTTAAAATGTAATATTTTAAGTTTTTACACTAGAATCTTGAAATGTGCAAGGTTAGAAGTGTGCATTTCAAGGTTTCTTGTGTTAGTTCCTCATTTTTCCTGCATATTAGTATAAAACATAAAGATTGGACTAACAGTTACTTTGGATGTGTGATGAACTTAGTTTGACAGTTTGTGGACTAGTACACTGTAGAAGGGAAGAAGGTTTTGTTTCATTAGAAAGCTGAGCTTTAGCAAAATTGCAAAGGTAGAAGCTTCTGCAAGTTGACATTCCATTAAGCATACCTTTATGTAAAATGAGTTATCCTGAGTCATTCTACTTGTATACACTTAACCCTTCCTTGGCAAATAAAGACAGACGAATTCAGGTAATTTAAAGAGATATTCTGGGTCAAATAATCATTTACTTATCGGAAATGGCTAATGAAATGTTGCAGTGATTTATGATGTGCTTTAGTAAATTTTCATAATGTAGTAATTTGTCTTCTATTTTCAACTGCCTGTCCAGTTCATTTACTGGCTAATAGTTACTTTAAATGTTTTATCAACAGCTTCATTTTTCTGTCTCTCGCCTCTTCCTCTCAGATTCCTATCATGATGAGTTAGGGAGTAATATTTCACTTTAAATGACTTGTCTTTACTACCGATAGTCGGAAATGTAGGCAGAGTTGCTGTAACGTGAAGCACAATCATTAATCTGAAATATCTATGTTGGATTGACTCCTCTGTTATTATCAAGAACTGTAAAAATGTCCTAGCTTTTTTGTTATCCATATATCTTTCAGAATAATGTGTGAAATACATGGTGATTGCAAGACATAGCAGCAATTCTGTTGTTATAATTAAAAACATTTATTAAGTACTATCTCTGTCTCAGCAATTGGATGGTGGAAAATAGCCATACCTGTTCTGATGAACTTTGGTTAAAAAAAATTTATTGGCTACCTACTATGTGTATAGTAGTCTACTGGGTGATATGAGATCTACTGTCATAATGAATATTCATAGGATATTTTAATAATAATATTAGATAAATAATTTGTTGAGTATTTAGTATGTGAAATATATTGTATTTATATACTTTGAAAATTTCTAGGTCTATAGCTATCTTTACAAGCTCTCTAGAACCATTTATATAACATATTTAGAATAAACATAGGAGATATTTATATATCTATATCTATCTATATCTTATTTCTATATTGTTAAACACTCAAATAGAGATACATATTTTTCTTTACCCTGACAGTCCATAGTGTAAACAGGATGATGTGGAGTTTTAAAGTCACTTCACATGGTAATATATTATTAACTTAGTAACTTAAAAAATAAATATATCATGAATATTAAGGTAGAAGTGTTTAGGAATAATGTCAGCAAGATGACAGAATGGAAATTTCCAGCACTTGTCCCTCATAGAACATTGTTTTGAACCATTCATATGCAAAAATACCTTTACAAGAGCTAGGGAATCTAGTTAAGGGATTATAGCACCTGGGAGAAGCACAGAAATAAGAAAGGACAGTTATATTACCTTCATCATCCCGCCTCCAAGCCCATGCAGGGCAGTGAAGCATGGTGAGAGATAATTTCTGCAAAGGGGAAGGGCAGTGAAGTAAGCACTTGACTTTGCCGCTGACCCCAGCTCAATTGCTCTAGTGAACCCCAGTGCTGGTCGCTTCTGCTGACCCATAACTTTTTCTAAAATTGCATGAAAGTTCTCATGTGTGAGTAGAAATCTAAGCCAGGAGAGAGACGGTTATTCTTCTGAGTCCTTTTGTGAACATGTTATGAAGTCTCCTCTCTCCTCTACATATTGTTTATTGATTTTGTTTCCTCTTTTCTCACCATGCATGTAATGGCAACTTAACTTTAGATTCTTACCTCCATACCTGATTAAATTGGCAACAGTAGGTGCAGTAATAGCAGCAGTTGCTGCAGCAATATGTTAATTCTTTAATGATCTTGCCTTATAAGGTGGGTATTTATTTCAGATATATATTTTTTCATTTTGTAGAAGAGGAAACTTAGGTTCACAAGGGCTAAATAACTGACCCCAGTCATGCAGTTTGAGCACAAAATCTATGTTTTAAAAATGGGGTTCATTCTACACCATTCTCCAAAATGTGCTGGAATTGTTCATTATTTTTGGTACAAGAAGTCATTAAAAAAGCAGTTCTGTATATTTTTTAAATGTAATTTTTAGGGATCATGAACCATTTGCTAAGCAATACGTTGGTATTTTTATATGTAACTTTTTTTTTTTAATGCTCCTTTTGCTATTGTTTACAGAAAGTGTCACCTTGGGTCGGCTTGCGCAAGATCAATATATCCTACTGGGGGTGGGAAGACATGTCTCCTTTTACAAATACAACGCTGCAGTGGCTTCCCGGTGAGCCAAACGACTCTGGGTTCTGTGCCTACCTAGAAAAGGCTGCAGTGGCAGGGTTAAAAGCTAATCCTTGTACATCTATGGCCGATGGCCTTGTCTGTGAAAAGCCTGTTGGTAAGTAGTAAGCTAGTATTTCTTTGGAAATATTATGTTTCCAACTCCTCTTCCATGTGTGATAGCCTCTGGGCCTGAAGTAACTTTCACCATCTTTAATTTTTTTTTTTTTTAATGTTTATTATTTTTGAGAGGTGGGAAGGGCAGAGAGCGGGAGACAGAGGATATCAAATCTGGCATGGGGCTTGTACTCATGAACTGTGAGCTCATGACCGAGGCTGAAGTTGGACACTTAACCGACTGAGCCACCCGCTACCCCCTCAATCTTTCTATGATGCTGATTACCTGATTTTTTGGTAAATTTTATCTTGGTCCACAACCCCGTTTACTCTTAGTGACCTCAGCATTAACTTGTGGAAATAACAAAATTTTATTGTTTTATACAATTTTTATTTCTTGGTTGAAATAGGGAGATTATAAATTTATGGTCATAGTTACAGTATAGTAGGAATATATTCTTAATTGTTTTATGTGTTTTACTTTTATAATAATAGCCTTTGGAAGAAAGATTCATTTTTAAGATTAACAACTATTTCAGTCTGAGTGAAATCATATGGTATTTGTTTTGAAATGGATTTTTGTCAAGTGAGAAAGGAATATTGAATTGTTTTCTCTTTATTGTTATTGTGTAAAATCTACATAACATAAAATTTAACATTTTAACCATTTTTAAATGTAGAGTTCAGTATTATCAAGTGCATCTACATTATTGTGCCTCTGTTAACAGCCAGCATCTCCAGAACTTTTTCATCTTCCCAAACTTCATACCTATTAAACATGGCCTCTCGATACCTCCTTCCCCCAGCCCCTGACAACCACCTTCTACTTTCTAATTCTATGGGTTTGACTAATCTAGGTACCTTATATAAGTAGAATGATAGGATGTATGAACTTTTATGACTAGCTGACGTCCCTTAGCATGTCTTCAGGGTTCATCCATATTGTAGCATATGTTAGAATTTCATTCCATTTTTAGCACAAATAAGTATCCATTATATGTACATGCAACTTTTGTTTGTCCATATGTCAGCATACATTTGAGTTTTTACTCTTGTGTTGTGAGTACTGATGCTATGGACATGGTGTACACATACTTTTTCCAGTATCGGTTTCACGTCTTTTGGGTATATAGCCAGAAGTAGAAATGCTATATCATATGGTAATTCTATGTTTAATTTTTTGAGTAGTTGCCATACTGTTTGTCATAGAGTTGTATAATTTTACATTCCCATGAGCAACATACAGGGCTCCAGTTTCTTCACATCCTTGGTAATATTAAAAAAATATTTATCCTGATAGGTATGATATTATATTTGATGTAAAGATTTTATAGTATATTCTTTTATTTTTATTGTTTGTTTGTATCAGAGATATGTTCGCTGACAGGTCATTTATTTTGATAAGGTATTAAATGTTTATGGAAAAAATTCTACCAGGAAAGTAAGTAATGATAGTGTATGTTGTATCTAGCCAAAGATAGAAGACCAGGTCATGTGTTACATTTCTGTTTGTAAGTTTTTAATATATAATTTTATATACTTTGTAAAGGATTAAAATTTCCTAAAGAATTATAATTTTCAAAATTGATAATAAATTTACAGAGTACTGATCTCTCGTCTTCATTTTCATTCACCTTATCATGTATTTTTTGCTATAGTTTTTTATCCCACACTTGGCTTACTCGAAACATTCCCTAAATAGTAAAACAAATGAAACCCATCTACTTGTGTTAAAATACAATTAACAGATAAACTAATTATGTTTGTTGATTTTTTCCAGTTAGTCCAAATCAAAATGCAAGGCCATGCAAAAAGCCGTGTTCTCTAAGGACATCCTGCTCCAACTGTACAAGCAACGGCATGGAGTGTATGTGGTGTAGTAGCACGAGACGATGCGTTGACTCCAATGCTTATATCATTTCTTTTCCATATGGACAGTGTCTGGAGTGGCAGACTGCCACCTGCTCTCGTAAGTATTTATCCAGAGTGCCCTTTTCCATTTAAAGACAACATAATTTATCTGTCATGGAAGGAAGAATTGAACACTTGAAGAAATTTTTGAAAGATGACCAAAAAGTGTTATAGCTCGTTTTAAAACCTATTGATGGTATAAATCCCACATTTATATTATACTGTCAATTTGAATTCTAATTATTTTATCCTATATATTTACATTTTGCCTTGTTTGTGCTCTCCCCAGGTCTGAGTGTGTGTTGCAGATAGCATAACTCTTTTCAAAAGTACTTACTACTTCAAGGATCACATACTGCTTTGTTGGGTTTCTTTAGTGTCCTTTAATCTAGCACAGTGCCTATGGCTTACACAACTGTGATAGTTTTAAAGAGTCTACACAGTTGTTTTGTAAGTGGCCCAATTCAGATTTGTCTAATTCTTTTCTCATGATTAGATATAAGTTAAGCAATCATATCACTGGTAGTAACATCTACTCTAAATGCAGGATGCAGTCTTGGCATCACATGGAGAATCATATCAGCAGGGCAGCACTGGACTTGCTGTGGGTTGTACTTCAGGAGAAGATCTTGCCCCTTGCTGATCTCATGGTTTTGTAAGGACTGTAGGGTGAGGGGGCGCCTGGATGGCTTGGTCAGTTAAGTGTCCGACTTCAACTCAGGTCATGATCTCACAGTTCATGGGTTCGAGCCACGCGTTGGACTCTGTGCTGACAGCCAGCTCAGTCTGGAGACTGTTTCAGATTCTGTAATTCCCTCTCTCTCTGACCCTCCCCTGCTCATGCTTCTTTCTCTCTCAGAAATAAATAAATTATTAAAAGAAGAAAAAAAGGACTGCAGGGTGAGGATGCACTTGACTGAATGTATGATATGGGTACTGTGTGGTCACGAGTTGCCTTTCTTGCAAAGACTATTGCATCAGGGTGCTGCTGCCAAGGGAACTGCATAACACTGCTGATAGCACTTGGTGTCCTTGTAGGAATCTAAGGTCCCATGAAGCTTTAAAATTTTTTTTTTTTTTTGCTTGGGAAGATGTAAACGCTGCTGGTCTCAGTTAGTTTTTTGCTAGCAGAAAGTATGATTTACTTGCCAGTGGCTACTCTCTGAAACTAGAGTTCATCAAAAAATACTTTTCTGGGGCGCCCGGGTGGCGTAGTCGGTTAAGCGTCCGACTTTCGCTCGGGTCATGATCTCGCGGTTCGTGGGTTCGAGCCCCGCGTCGGGCTCTGTGCTGACTGCCAGCTCAGAGCCTGGAGCCTGTTTCAGTCTGTGACTCCCTCTCTCTCTGACCCTCCCCTGCTCACGCTGTCTCTCTCTCTCTCCTAGAAATAAATAAAACATTAAAAAAAAAATACTTTTCCAACAGAGTCATGAATTAATTAGTCTGTTCAGATTTGTAATAAGAAGGTAGGAAGGATTATTTACCTCCATCCACACCTGCTTTTCAGTGTTGAATCCATTCATTCATGCCCCACTAATTGGGGTCTGTATGTCCTGTGCCTGATCCAGACTTTATATCTTTTTGGGAGAATACTATGCTCTGCAGGTGCCCAGGAGTCACCATTCCACAACCACAGTTAGTTGCAGAATCACCTTAGATAAGTTGGAGTTCAAGTATATGTTCATCTGGAAAGCCTTTATTTAAAAAGATCAATGAGGGGCACGTGGGTGGCTCAGTAGGCTAAGTGTTCGACTTTGGCTCAGGTCATGACCTCTTGGTTCATGGGTTTGAGTCCCACGTCAGGCTCTGTGCTCTCAGCTTGGTGCCTGGAGCCCACTTCAGATTCTGTGTGTCTCTCTCTCTGCCCCCTCTCTGCTTATTCTCTGTCTCGTTCTCTCTCAAAAGTAAACATTAAAAATTTTGTAAAAGATCAATGAATCTAAGAACTGGTTCTTTGAAATAATTAACAAAATTGATAAACCCCTAGTCAGACTTCTCAAAAAGAAAAGAGAAAGGACCCAAATAGATAAAATCACAAATGAAAGAGGAGAGATAAAAATCAACACCATAGAAATTTCTAAACAATTATAAGCAAATATTATGAAAAATATATGCCAACAAAATGGGCAATCAGGAAGAAATGGACAAATTCCTAGAAACTCACACAGTACTAAAACTGAAACAGGAATATTAGGAAAGTTGAACAGATCCATAGCCAGCAAAGAAATTGTGTTAGTAATAAAAAATCTCCCAACAAATAAGAGTCTTGGACAAGATAGCTTCCTAGGGGGATGTCTACCAAATATTTAAAGAAGAGTTAATAGACTTAATACCTATTCTTCCAAAAACAAAAAAAGAAATAGAAGGAAGACTTCCAAACTCATTCTACAAAGCCTGCATTACTTTGATTCCAAAATCAGACAAAGATCCCACTAAAAAGAATTACCAGCCAATATCCCTGGTGAACACAGATGTAGACTTTCTCAACAAGCTAATAGCAAATCGAATTCAATAGTACCTTAAAAGAATTATTCACCATGATCAAGTGGAATTCATTCCTAGGTTGCACGGGCAGTTCAATATTCATAAATAAATCAACAGATACATCACATTAATAAAAAAAAGGATAAAAACCATATGGTCCTCTCAATAGATGCAGAAAAAGCATTTGACAAAGTATAGCATCCAATTTTGATAAAAATCCTCAACAGAGTAGGGAGAGGTAGAACATACTTCAACATCATAAAGGCCATATATGAATTATAATATTATTCTTGGTGGGGAAAAACTGAGAGCCTTTCCCTGTGCCAGGAGCAAGACAGGGGTGTCTGCTCCCACCATTACTATTTAACATAGTACTAGAAGTCTTAGCCCTGGAAATCAGACAACAAAGAGAAACAAAGGCACCCAAATTGGCAAAGAAGAAGTCAGACTTTCACTATTTGCAGAGGATGTGATACTGTATGTAGAAAACCTGAAGGACTCCAACCAAATATGGCTAAAACTAATACATGAATTCAGCAGTTGCAGGATATAAAACCAGCATGCAAAAATCTGTTGCATTTCTATATACTAATAATGAAACAGCAGAAAGAAATCAAGGAATCAATCCATTTTGTAAATGTACCAAAAACTATAAGATATCTAGGAATAAACCTAACTAAAGAGGTAAAAGATCTATGCTCTGAAACCTTAGAACACTTTTGGAAGAAATTGAAGGGACACTAAGAAATCGAAAAGCATCCCATTCTCAGGGACTGGAAGAACAGACATTGTTTAAATGTCTATACTACCCAAAGCAGTCTATACATTTAATCCATTCCTTATCAAAATACCAACAGCATTTTCCACAGAGCTAGAAGAAACTCTCTTAAAATTTGTATATCACTACAAAAGACCCAAAACAGCCAAAGCAATCCAGAAAAAGAAAAATAAAACTAGAAGGATCATAAATTTGGATTTCAAGCTGTGTTACAAACCTGTAGTCATCAAAACAGTATGATATTGGGACAAAAATAGACACGCAGAGGGGCTCCTGGGTGACTCCATCAGTTAAGCATCTGACTTCAGCTCAGGCCATGGTCTTGCGTTATGTAGGTTCCAGCCCTGCACTGAGCTCTGTGCTGACAGCTCAGAGCCTGAAGCCTGCCTCAGATTCTGTGTCTCTCTCTCTGCACGTCCCCTGCGCATGCACATATTCTCTCTCTCTCAAAAATAAACATTAAAAATTAACAAAAAAGACACATAGCTCAATGGAACAGAATAGAAAGCCAGAGATGGACCATTAGTTAACTATATGGTTAACTAAACTTCAACAAAGCAGGAAAGAATATGGAAAAAAAGATCTTCTCTTCAAGAAATTGTGTTGGAAAAACTGGACCACTCTCTTACATTATTCACGAAAATAAATTCAAAATGGACGAAAGACTTAAATGTGAGACAGGAATCCATCAAAATCCTAAAGGAGAACACAGGCAGAAACCTCTTTGACCTCGGCTGGAGCAACTTCTTACTTAGACATGTCCCTGAAGGCAAGGGAAACAAAAGCAGACATGAACTATCGGGACTTCATCAAGATAAAAAGCTTCTGCACAGCAAAGGAAACAATCAATAAAACTAAAAGGCTACAGAATGGAAGGAGATATTTGCAAATGATGTATCTGATAAAGGATTAGTATCCAAAGTCTATAGAGAACTTAAAAACTCAACATCCAAAAAACAAATAGTTAAGAAATGGGCAGAAGAGGTTAGTAGACACTTTTCCAAAGAAGACATTCAAGTGGCCAATGGACACATGAAAAGATGCTCAACATCACTCATCATTAGAGAAATACAAATCAAAACCACAATGAGATACCACCTAACACCTGATAGAATGGCTAAATTAACAGTACAAAAAACAACAGGTGTTGGCAAAGATGTGGAGAAAGGAGAATTCTGCACTCTTGTTGGGAATGCAAGCTGGTATAGCTACTCTGGAGAACAGTATAGAGGTTCCTCAAAAAATTAAAAATAGAACCACCTTATGGTCCAGCAGTTACACTCTTAGGTACTTACCCAAAGGATATAAAAATACAGATTCAAAGGGGTACATACACCCCAGTGTTTATAGCAGCATTATTAACAATAGCTAAACTATAGAGAGAACCCAAATGTCCACCAACTATGAATGGATAAAGAAGATGTGGTGTGTGTGTGTGTGTGTGTGTGTGTGTGTGTGTGTGTGTATCACACAATGGAATATTACTCAATGATCAAGAAGAATGAAATACTACATTTGGAGTTATGTAGATGGGACTAGAATGTATTATGCTAAGCAAAATAATTATTGTCAGAGAAGACAAAGAGCATATGATTTCATTCATATGTAGAATTAACAAACATTTTTAATGTTTTATTTATTTCTGAGAGAGAGCGAGCGAGAGAGACAGCGTGAGCAGGGGAGGGTCAGAGAGAGAGGGAGTCACAGAATCTGAAGCAGCTCCAGGCTCTGAGCTGTCAGCACAGAGCTGACGTGGGGCTCGAACCCACAAACCATAAGATCATGACCTGAGCCGA